CTTCAAATGTGCTTAACTGTCACTTTCTCAGTGACCTGACCACCCTATTTAAATTCTACAAGCCCTCCATCCCTTGACCACCAAAAGCAACCTTGACTCATTATCCTGTTCTTTTTCCTCATGGTAGGTTACTTTCTGATATACAATGTCTCAGTGGCTCTCAACAAGGCAGGATTTTACCCCCTGGAAGAAATCTAACAACATATGGAGACATTTTTCATTGTCACCACTTGGTGGAGGAGGGTGCTGTTAGCATTTGGTGAACAGAGGCGTGGGATGCTGCTAAATATTTTGTAGTTTACAGGACAGACCTCCACAACAAAGAGTTATCTGGCCCAAAATATCAGCATTGCAGAGGCTGAAAACACTATTAAATTTACCTTTTATGCTCATTCTGTTTTTCTCTCTGGTAGAATATAAGCTCCATGAGAACAAAGATTTCTTTCCTCTTTTAGTAAGGCCCTCAGTATTGGTTCAATGGTATTAAATGTTAAATGATTAAATGATCTACCTCATATTTTAAAAATTGACCTAAACATTAAAGAAATTTCAAGGAAATAATTCCTCACTGCTAACATGTGTCCATTTTCTCTTTGAGCCTTTGTCCTGTAGCTATCTCATTGGTTCTTGTTACATATACATTTTATATTGTGCTACAGAGATTTCAAAATTATAGACCTGTATAAAAAGCCATCTACTTTACCTATTGTGATGGTTAATACTATCATCTTGACTGGATTGAAGGATGCAACGTATTGTTCCTGGGTGTATTTGTGAGGGTATTGCCAAAGGAGGTTAATATTTGAGTCAGTGGACTGGGAGAGGCAGACCCACCCTCAGTCTGGGTGGGTACCATCTAATCAGCTGCCAGAGCGTGGCTAGAATAAAAGTAGGCAGAAGAATGTGGAAGGATGAGAGTGCCTGAGTCTTCTGGATTCCATCTTTCTCCCGTGTTGGATGCTTTCTGCCCCCGAACATCAGACTCCAAGTTCTTTAGCTTTTGGACTCTTGGACCTACACCAGTGGTTTGCCAGGGGCTCTCCGGCGTTTGGCCACAGACTGAAGGCTGCACTGTAAGCTTCCCTACTTTTGAGGTGTGGAGACTCAGACTGGCTTCTTTGCTTTTCAGCTTGCAGTCAGCCTAGTGTGAGACTTTACCTTGTGATCCTGTGAGTCAATACACCTAAATAAATTCCCTTTCATATACACATATATCCTATTAGTCCCGTCCCTCCAGAAAACCCTAATACACCTACCATATAGTTTGTTTATTGTGACTATGGTGTGGTTTGGGAAGTGATAAACCTTACTACAGAAGGTTTTGAATCTAACACAACTTTGAGAAAAGGCAACTCAGTCAAGGGTACTGTTACCTGCAAGGTGAGCAGCTTCAATTGTTGAATTTCTCTGTTTTAGATCAAATTCTGCTGGTACAGAAATGACAGCATTGGCAACTGGCATTCCAAGATATTCCTCTGCCATTTCCTTTAACTTCAACAATAGTCGAGAGCCAACATATTCTGGGGACACTGTGATGGTCTCATTACTTGTCACAGAAAACTCAACCATTCCATTTTTGTTTAAAACCTGTGAATAGGATTTGCAAATAAGTAAATAAATAAAAGAGTAAAAGTATGTGTGTATATATATGTGTGTGTATATATATGTGTGTGTGTATATATATATGTATAAGAGAGAGAGAGATACAGACATACATATAAATACTAGGCCTAATGAAAACTTACCTTTATCTTTACAAAATCAAAAACATATTTGTAATCTATCCAGTATATTCACCAAGATTAGAACTTATTAAATACTGTATCATAAAATCTATAAAATGAATCCATATTAGTTTTTTTTTTTTTTTTTTTTTTTTAAGATGGAGTCTAGCTCTGTTGCCCAGGCTGGAGTGCAGTGGTGTGATCTCAGCTCACCACAACCTCTGCCTCCCAGGTTCAAGCAATTCTCCTCCCTCAGCCTCATGAGTAGCTGGGACTACAGGCACAAGCCACCATGCTCAGCTAATTTTTGTATTTTTGGTAGAGACGGGGTTTCATGACATTGGACAGGCTGGTCTTGAACTCCTGACTTCAGGTAATCTGCCTACCTCGGCCTCCCAAAGTGCTGGGATTACAGGTGTGAGCCACTGTGCCTGGACTATACTAGTTTTTAATAACAACAGAATAAAATTCATCACCAAGCACATTAACTAGAACACACAAGATCCTCAATATATATTTGCTGAATAAATGAAAGAATAAATGACAAAATGTAAGAAATAGAAGTTGCTCATTCAAATATGTAACTCAGGATCCTCTCCCTTTTTTCCCAAATTACTCATTTCTAAGAGTAATAGATAGTTGAAAGAATCTTCTAGTACATATTAACAAGAATAATTTTAGTACATCATTATGTTCTCTTTATATGTATACATATATGTACACATACACACAGAGATTATCTGTCTATGGTACACAGGGCTTCATCAACCTTCCTGCTACCCTGAAAGAGCTAAGCAGGCATGCTGAGGATGTGAGAACAAGAAAATGATAAGGTCTTTAAGTAACTGTTAGCATTCTGGAATCAGTGATTAACTCATCCAAGAGCCGCTGTGGAATTTGTTATGTAAGATAACAGAACTTTCGTGTATTAATTGATTAAGCTAGAAGAGATAGAATGTTTTGTGACATGAAGCCAAAGCATTAACTGAAAGAGCACACTAAAATTAACACAGATTTTAATCACTTACCTTAAATGGATATCTGCCAATTTCAGCCTCCAGCTCTTCTGGGGTAAAAATCTTGCCTATGAACCTTTTGGCATCATATATTGTGTTTTGAGGATTTGAATCTGCCAGCTCTACGCTTTCATATCCCACATATACATCATTGTCGGTAAAGGACACCATGCTGGGTATGCTGATATGCCCATTTTCATCTGGAATCACCTTTACTTTTCCTGTGCCAGGAAAAAATACCCCAACGGAACAATAGGTGGTGCCAAGATCAATGCCAATCACTTTAGGAGTAGGCAATGGTAAATACTGTTGTGCCAAATAGCCAGCCAACAGGAGAGTCAAAACAGCTGATCCTGAAATACAGGAAAATTAAAAGATGCATTTTATCAAACTAGTACAATGTGCTAGATTACTGTAGCAAAGACCCTTTAATATCACTCGTTGAAACAAAGCTAAAAAAGATACATATCAAAATTTTTTATAGGACTACTGATTAACACTCCTCTCAGGAGGTTTTTCAAAATGTAAATTGTAAAATACCATTTAAAATGAAGTAACAACACAAACAACAAAAAAGCTCTATAACTGTATGTTTGTGTCATTCTCTAATGAGTGAATGAAGAAATAAAATGTAAAAATATTTCAAAATTATTTGTGCGGATGCTGACAGGAAACAACATTTATCTGGAGCAAAAGCCAGATATAATCTAATATTATTGATCAATTAATATTTAGATTTTACAGCTTTATAAACAGTTTCAATTATTTTTTTAAACTCCACTATTAAAATCCTCACAACAAAAACTTTATTATTGTAAGGCTAAAACTCTCTCCTTCTATCCCACCTTCTTCTCCCTTTCAAAAGGATGAAATGAATAAATTGGATAAAATAATTTTGAAAGTTGCAAAGGTATTAAAACTGTCACTTCATAAAACAGTTAACTTTTTATGTATGTAAGTATGAACCAGGGCCATCCTTCTTGCAATGATAATATTTAAGAGAGAAGAAGCATAAAAGTGGGCAATCCTGACGACAACATCTATGAAAGCTTCTTGAAGACAAGTTTTGTTCACTGTTGTATCCCCCAGGCCAGGAACAGGAGATGCTCAACAAGTACTGATTTAAAAAAAAAGAAAAAAAAAGAGTAGGAACAAATGCCACGCAGATTGTAAACATAAGTGAAGAAAGATTGCCCTTTGGATTTTGAATTAATTTCGTATTTGGTATCAGAAGGCTGTGTTATATACCTATTTCCACTCATATTACATACTACCCAAAACGTCAATTTTCAGGTCTCCATGTTACTGATTGTTAGCTCATTCTGATCAACACATAACTCAAAGAAATAAAACCAAATGCAAATCCTACTTTCCCCTTCCAGCTCCGGGCAACATTTCAGAAGCATTTCATCACCTTCGAGTCGCGGGGTGGGGGTATGTGGGGATGGGGGATAGGTAATTCCGAACCCGATTTGATGGAAATAGCGTCGATCGAGCTATACATCAGAGTCCTGAATCTCTCCAAATTCAGAACCCAAGAGCAGACAGCTCCGGATGCAGCTCCTCCCCCTTCCTCCACAAAGGGGCCCTGGAGGTGCACGTTCTCGCCGCCTTCCACAGCTTGCTCCAATTCAACAGGCAATTCACAACCCTAGGTGCTGTTAAAAGGAACGCTTCCCTAAGTCTGACGTCGCTGGGATGACACTGCTGGTCGCCCGCGCCTACCCTACCTTGGCCGGCAGGGGCCGGGGCCCTCCTAGAGGCGTCCCCACCCCCATTCGTTCTGAACAGCCGAAAACCGCCTCTAAGTCACCTTAGCGATTCCCCTCCCGCCGCTCAGCCGGATCCAGGCGGTGAGTCAACTACCCCTGCCCACGCTGGCATCCTCAGGCCGCCTCTACGCCCGCAAGAGCAACAAGGACCCGCGGGAACCCACCTAAGATCGTCATCTCTCTGGCCATCACAGTCCCGCCGAACTGGCTTGGGATGACTGTACCAGACGTGAGGCACCGCCCCCACGCCGCCCGGCAGTCCCGCAGACCCCTGGGAAATGTAGTCCACTTGCTTGGAGGCACTCGGAGAAGCTATCGCTCTGTCCAAAGCAAGGACTTCATCTACCGTGAGGGTGCGAGGTAAAGAGCCTCCATTCAACTGTGGCCGGTGACAACTGAGCCGCCTTCCCACGCACTGCGGCCCGGACCAGTCAGGCTGAGGGGTAGGAGCGCAGTGGCGAGGAAAAGCGTTTATAATCAAACCTGTTGTCACGCGAGCCTACTTGAGAAAAACACGCTGTCTCTTTAGCCCCGCCCCGCGCTCTGCATTCCGGGAAGCGTAGTTCCGGCCTTCCTTTTTCCGCTGGAGGTAATGAAAGGGAGGATGAGAACCGTTCGTTATCTCTTTCTGTGGTTGCGCCCCTAATCAGGTCCAGGATTCGAGTTTGTGTTCTTTCGTTTCAATGCCTTTTAAAGCGCATTCCTTTGCCTAAGATCTAGCTTCTCAATGGCGTTTCTATAGCCTCCCCACGCCCCAGCCATCCTCCGTAGAAGGGTCCCTGTCGCAGTGCGGGGCCCAAGGGAGGTGGGCTCTGACGTTTCTGCTCGCAGTGCTGGGAACAGCCTTTAAACTCCAGTGACCCTCAGTCCTCTGCCTTTGTTTTGGGATAAATGAATTCAAGCATTCTTCAGTCAATTCGATTTATTCAAGAGAGCAGGAACACATTTTCTCTATGCTAACACTGAAGTGGGCAATTAAAAACAAAGAAAAAAAAAGAAATTAAAAAGAAAACCCTTACCTCTATCTTCAAGTGAGGTTTAAGTGGCCAGAATTCACCTTATGGACAAGTCCTGTAACGTGACAGCCATTTTAGGACACTTGTGACATGAACTGTTCAGGTTCTAGTCTGCAGTAGGATTTTTCTCATATCTTGGTCACTGGTCGCATTTAATGGCTTCTCTGAGAGTGGTTTTGCCATTTTTGCTGTTAGAGCTCACGACAAGTAGATCCTGGAAAACTGAATCAATTTCCTCAGCTTAGATAGTAAATCAAACCATCCCTGTTGACAATGCATTAGCCTGCTGTGGGAATACATCGCTGTTTATTTCTATCTGACTTAATGTTAATTTTGATTATGGAAGCTGAATTCTGGCTGATAGGGATCCATTGTAATATTCTCTCTACACTTTTGTGCATTTTTAAGTATTTCATAATGCAAAGTATAAACAGTGAGTATCTGTAATGAGTGCTGTTCAGTAAGATTCTTATGAAGAGTGAAGAATTCAAGCACTTAGTTCTTAAGTATTAATTGTAATGGGCAATAGGCTGGAAGTGTTCCAGGCAGAGGAACTGAATTACCAAGAGCATAGAAGCAAGAGATCATCTATCCCATAGATTAGAAAGTGCTGTATCATAAAGCATGAAGTAGAATTCTGAGAGACAGAACTAGAGTCTTAAACCAGATCAAGATTAGTCGATTGTGGCAGGAACTGGTCATTGGCATTCTCCCTGCCACCCACTCCTTTCTCCTTGCTTATAAGATCCTGATTTGTTCAAGAAGCAGATAAAAATAATGTGATTTCAGAGTAGAAGGCCTTTAGAATTAAGGTTGAACTTAATAGGTTGTATTCATTTTCTATTTCTGCCTTAACAAATTACCACAAATTTAATGCCTGAAACCAACGCAAGTCTATTATTTTTACAGTTCTGTATATCAGAAATCTGGTATGGTTCTCACTGAAGTAAAATCAAGTTGTTAGCAGAGCTGCATTCCTTTCTGGAGGTTCTAGGGGAGAATCCATTTCCTGCTAATTTGAGTTATTGGCAGAATTCATTTTCTTGCAGTTGTAGGGCTCAGGTCTTCATTTTCTTGCTGGCTGTAACCTGAGAGCTGTTTCCAGTTTCTGAGACCATACACATTTCTTAGCTCAGAGACCCTCTTTCTCCATCTTCAAAGCCAGGAAGATGTCCTTCACAGAGGACATCTTTCTGCATTGCTCTTCCAAATCTTAGATGTCATGTGATTATACTGAACCTATCTAGACAATTCAACATAATCTCCATTTCAAACCCTGTAAACTTCTCATATCTGCAAAGTCCCTTTTGCCATGTAAGGTAACTATTCACAAGTTCCAAGAATTTGAAGAGGCCTTTATTTTGCCTACTAAAATGGTTCTGCAACCCCTCAAATTCACATCTGACCACATAACAAAATGCAACATCCATCCACCAAAGTCCCATCCCATTATAACATGAACTCAAAGTCCAAAAAGTTTGTCTATACTTCACCAGTTCAATAGTCTCAAATATAATTATCTAAATCAACTAAATTGGCTAGTAACTGATACCACTTATCCCTTCTTGTTTGTTTACAATCAGAGAGATAAGAATGCTGGTGAGACTATTCCGGCAATCTTACAAAGAACAGAAAAGTCAAGGCATTGGGATCGGAAAGTAATCATTGTTATCATTCTCCAATGGTGACCAAGTTATTTGTTATTATCACAGTTATTGTTTGGTTTTATATATTAGAATCCATTAGAATTCTTCTTCTTGATACTTAGATTGTTTTAATTTTGGCCGATGGCAGCCTTTCAAAATTCGCTCATAAGTGCTTCTGACACAACTCTAATAAGCTTTACTTACTGCCTTGCTACCTGCTCTGAAAAGATGTCTGGGATCCCCTTATTCATTTTTTTAATTTTGTTTCATACTTATAATCAACTGTGTGTCTAAGGAACCCTACTTTCTTTTATTAAGAAAGTGGGGTATCTGGAGACCATGATTTGTATGCTAGGGGGTTATGATTTTAAGAGTGTCAGTTCTCTTTATGTATTTGAATTCAGTGAAATATCAAACTTAATGCCAGCAGGATTTTATGACTTGACAAAGTGATAATCAAATTTATTTGGAATATTTAAGATAAGAATTTAACGAGCATATAGTCCTTTCGCATGTTTAAGTGAGAAAATTACAAACTTAATACTACAGAGGAAATAGAAAATGGACCAGATAGGCTTAGCAGCACATGCTTGTAGTCCCAGCTACTTGGGAGGCTGAGGTGGGAGGATCACCTGAGCCCCAGATTTTGAATCCAGCCTGGGCAACACAGTGAGACCCTATTTCAAAAAAAGAAAAGAAAAGAAATAAAGAAAAATAAAATGGACAAAAGAAGAAAGTGACAATCTCTTCAAAATAAAGGGAACTTATATTATTCAACAAATGTAACAGGGCAATTGGCTATTTATAACTTTGAATGTAAAAGGGGATGTTATACCTTAACATCAAAATAAATTATAAGTGGATAAAATGTTTAATTAAAAAATACAAGTAATTTTATTCATTAACTCAAGGGTAGGAGAAGTCTTTGAAATTAAGACTTAACACCTAGAAACAAAGCAAAACTAAACAGAAAGGATACATTTGGTTATGTAGAATTCAAAATTATCTAGAAGACAGAATTACTTATTTGAATTTATATGAGGTCAAAAGACAAATGACAAACTGAAGAAATACTAAACATACATGATGTACAAAAGATTTAATTCCTTACTTTGTGAAGAGTTCCTTCAGAATATAAAGATGTACTACTCAATTGAAAAATAAGACAGGACATAGACAATAGAAAATAAAATAAAAATAACCAACAAACATGAAAATAAATTCTATCTTAATCACATTTAAATAAACATAAATCAGAATAACAACATGTCATTTCTACCTATCTGTGATCAGTTGAATTGTGGCCCCCCTCCAAAAGAGGTATGCTGGAGCTCTAAACTCCTGTACCTCAGAATGTGACCGTATTTGGAAATAAAGTTGTTGGATATATAATCTGATAATGTGACGTCACATGGGAATAGAGTAGTCTCTTAATACAATATTACTGGTATCCTTATAAGAAAAGGGCCATATAAAGACACAGAAACACAAGGAAAATGCTATGTGATGACCAAGGCAGCGATTGGAGTTATGTGGCTACAAGTCAACGAACGTCAAAGATTGACAGCAAACCAGCAGAACCTACAAAGAGACAATGAAGGATTATCCTGCATATTTTAGAGGGAACATACCCAACTCATATTTTGATATGAGTTCTTCTAATCTCTAAAACTTCTAATCTCTAAAACTGTGAGACTTCTAATCTCTAAAACTGTGAGACAATAACATTTTGTTGTTTTCAAGCCATGCAATTTGTGATATTTGTTATGGCAGCCCTAGGAAACTTTATACTATCTTACTGGAAAAATATTTAAATAATGATAAGCAGTGCTAGTAAATGTGTCTGTTGCTCATGATAGGCCTGTTTGTGGAGTACATTTTGAAAGAGTGATATTGATTAAATTGCAGCGCACATAGACTTGCATTTACAGCCATGATTATAATGAATGGAATTACATTTTTTCTACAGGGAGATGGAAAAATTAAATGAAATAATAGTTTCAGACTTTGAAACTATGCAGAGGAACACTGATCTCTGAGAGAAGGAGTTAAACCAGGTAAAGTCTATAGTCATCCTGCATTTCTATTGAGAGACCACATGCAAGAACACAGTGTAGAGTCCCAAATAGAGCATATGGCCTTGCCTTATAGAGAAGATACATATCAGAGTTGAAGAGTTTGGGAAGGAGGCTGAAGTTGCAGCAAAGGGCACTGAAAAGGTAAGCGCTATGCAGAACACCAGAAATCCCGAAGATATTGGGATACCTTTACTTCACACCATACACAAAAATTAACTTGAAATTGTCATAAATCTAAATGTAAGACCTCAAAGCTCAAACTACAAATTTGTGGGAAACAGGATGGGAGAAGATATTTGTGATCCTCCTGTAGGCAAAGATTCCCTACATATGAAATAGAAAGCATGAATCATGAAAAAGTTGATAAACAGAATGTCAATAACATTAAAAATTTCTATTCTTACATGTCATCAAGAATTGAAAAGTCAAATCACAAACCGAGAAAATATACCTATAGTACATATATTTAACAGAAGACTTGTATCTAGAGTTTATGAGCAAATCTTAAAACTAAATAATAATATAACAGAAAATACCTAGTTAAAATTTGGTCATAAGATTGTAATAGATATTTCATAAAAGAAAATGTACTAATAGCCAATAAACATGGTAAGATAACACTGGGGACAAACAAAATCACTACACATCCACTACAATGGCTAAAATTTAAAAATTGATTCACTAAGTGTTGGCATAGATATGGAAAAACTGGAATTCTCATACATCACCAGCAATAATATAAAATGGTACATTAACTTTGGAAACAGAGTGTGACAGTTTCTTATGTTGTTAAACATATCCTTACCATATGACTTAGCAATTCCACTTGGTATTTAACCAAGTAAAGTAAAACCATATAAAAAATTATACAAGGATGTATGTAGCAGATTTTCTTGCAATAGCCCCAAACTAGAAACAACCATAGATCCATTAACAATTGAGTCAATAAATAGTTTTACTGTACAGTTGTGCATAGGAAGTATTAAAATGTGTCACATGGTAGCTTACACATGAGTGATTTGGGCATCTGTGTTCATAATAGCTTCCAAACAGAAGCAATCAAAATTCAGCAGGTAAATGGAGATGCAAATTATGGTATATCCATGTAGCTGAATTCTACTGCAATAGAAAGAAATCGTTGATAAATGCAATAACATAATGATGAGCTAAGAAAAAGAACCCAGGCACAGAGGAACTTCTATTCTATGATTAAATGTATAGGAAATTCTAGAAAAGAAATATCTAATACACAGTGAAAGAAAACAGGGAAGCGATACCTGGGGTGCAAGGAGGTGATTGACTGGGAAGGGACACAAAGGAAGTTTTTACAATGATGCAAACATTCTACATCTTAACTGTGATAGTGGTTACACGGATATAGATCTATCTCTCTCTATATAGACATCTCCTTGTATAAATACTTATGTATATAAATATATCTCTGTCAAACTCATTAGATTGTACAGCTGAAATGGACGAATTTTATTTTCTATAAATTATACTTTAAGAAAGTTATTTTGAAAAATAAAATTTCCTATACCTGTGAACTATGAAGAAGGACACCAGAAATTCTAAGTATTCTAGTGCTAGGAATTTATAGATATTCTTATGAAAGTACACATTTTAATTGCTCATGGTAGGACCCTTTCCCAAAAAATAACTGGAAATGACCTAATCAACGATTTAAAATGGCTCTGTCAAACAGTGGAGTCATAACCAAAAAATGAAATTCATTGTATTGTTGTATTTCTAAAATGTGTTTCTAAACCATGTTGTTAAGTAAAATTGATCTAGGTTTCTAGCACCTATTAATTAATTACACATTAATGCTACTTTGATTGGATAGCCTAAACAATATGTGCTAATAGCATAAGCATTTTATGTCCACTTTAATTTAAAGTTATTATTGGCTTTACTATATTTTCTTATTTCTATTGTATTTTTGTATTTGAACCATTGGTTATTTAGAAGTTGTGCTTCCTAATTTCCAAACATTTGGTGATTTTCTAATTACCTTTTTGGTATGATTTCTAGTATAATTATACTGTGGCTGGACAAAATAGTCTGTATGATTTTAAACCTTTGAAATATATTGCTACTTGCTTTATTGTCTAGAATATATTCTGTTTTGATGAATATTCCATGTCTATGTGTAAAATGTGTGTTCTACCATTTCTGGGTGTAGTATTTTGGAACTATCATTTAGATGTAGTTTAAAGCTTCTGTATTTTAACTTTATCTGTCATTGAGAGTTGTCTGTTAAAACATCCATCTATGAGTATGGATTTTCCTAATTGATATGTGTGTGTATGTGTGTTCTCTGTTTCTCGACAAATACATATTTAAGATTAGAATTATTTTATTGTCATGAAATATTCCTTTTTATGTTTAATAATACATTTTGTTTTAGAGACTACTTTGTCCCAGGGTCAGAACTACAGAGCAAAATTTGAGGAGATGCTTACTCTCTGATTCTGAGTCTGCAGTTGTAGGAAGCTGAGAATAAGCTCCCCCTTAAATTTTGCATCCTACACGCCTCATCCTATAAGAGGCATTCACTCTCATGGTATTTGCGCTTGCCTTCCTTGCCCTTGCTCCAGCCCTGCTTTGTCTCATATTAAGACAGTAACTCCAGCTTTCTTTTGTTTGTATACGCTTAGTATATTTTCCCTATCCTTTATCTCTTGACCCATTCATGTCCTTATATTTAACATTTTTATTGTATGGAAGCTAAATGTTGTGTACACATAGACATAGAACGTGGAATAATACACTGGAAACTGGAAAGGGCGAGAGGGTAGGGGGTGTGAGGGATGAGAAATCACTTAATGAGTACAATGTACATTATTGAATGATGGTTACACTAAAAGCCTAGACTTTACCACTAGGCAATATATCCATGTAACAAAATTACACTTGTACCCCTTATATTTATACAGATTCATTTTTTTAATAGTGTCTCTTGTAAATAGTATATAGTTGGGCTTATGTTTTAATACAGTTGGATAATATGTCTTTTATTTGAGGTCTTTAGTCAATTTACATTAACTATAGCTATGGTTATAATGAATGCATGGATTTAAGTCTACCATCTTGCTTAATTTAAAAAGTCTCATTTTTTTTTTTTTTGCTGCTTTCCTGCTTTCCGATGGATCACTTAGTAATTTTTATTCCATCTTATGTCTTTTTTCAGTTAATATTTTTATTTTTTTCTTTTATATAGTGATTATCTTAGTGATTTTAACATATATCTGTGACTTATTACATTTAGTCCTTTTATCATGTCTTGAAGAATGCAAAACTCTCATTGCACTTTTACTTGATTTACCACTCCCTTCCTTGGATATTTATTGTCATATATTGTACATGTACTGTTATATACTCTAGAAGTAATAGTTATTACTATTGTTTTAAAGACATCAATATTTTTTAAATTTCCTTGCATATTTAACTGTTTTAGTGCTCTTTCTTTCATGTTTTCATTTTTGACCATTTACCATATGGTTTGAAAAATTCCATTAATATATTTTGTAGTGTTGGTTTGTCAGATGCAAACTTTTTTGAGGAGGGTTGAAAAATATTTTTATATCTTCTTTATTTTTGAAAAATATTTTCAGGATTTAGGTTGGCAGTTTTAATTTCTTCCCTCTTTTTCTTTTTTCACTTTAAAGATGCCATTCCATTGCCTTTGTCTTATAAAATTATCCATAAATCTCATTCTTGCTTTTTGAAGAAGATGTGTCTTTTTTCTATGCCTGGTTTAAAAATCTGTCTCCTCTCTCTCTTTTTTTTTTTTTTTTTTGAGACCTTTAAATATGTTTTGTCAAATATGGTTAATTTGTATCTGTCTTTCTTGAGGTTGACTGAACTTCTTGGACCTCTGGCTGTTACCTTCATTAGATTTGGAAAAATCCTTATCCATAGCACTTCAAATATTGTCTCTGTCCCTTTTTTCTTTTTCTGAGATTTTATTTCCACATGTATCTGCCCATGTATATTAATTTTTGCCATATATTCATTAATACTTAGTTATTTTCTTTCCACTTCTTTTCTGTTTTCAAGTTGATTTTTTCTGTCTCTACGTCCACTAATAATTTCTTTTTTGTGTCCAGTCAGCTACTTAACACATTATAGAATTTTTAAATCATATATTTTATATTTTTCAGTTATAGAATGTTTCATTTGATTTTTATATTTATTCTAATTATATGTTGAAATTCTGTCTTTCATTCTGCTCTTTGTTTATTTGCTTTTATTTAAATTTATTTGTTAATTATTTTAAAGTTTTTATCTGCTTATTCTAGTGATATCCATGGCTGGGGAGAGGGGAAGTATCCTTATATCATCTGATTGTTTTTTCATTTTCTTTTGTCATATTTTCCAGTATCTTCATATATCTCATATCTATACATTTTAGAACCGTAGAGAGAGAGGTTGATGTTATTTTCCTCCCAGACAAGATTTGCCCTTTTCTCTTATGCAGATACACTGAGAATGAATCAACTCAGTACAAGTGGGAATTTAGCCACATAGGTGTTGGATTCCACCGCAAGTTGAAAGTTAGTCCTTCTCTAAAGTACAGACATGTCCTGTTTTGTTGCAGACCTCTCCCTTGAGAGGGACTTTATCTCTTAAGAATGTGAGAAACAGGAATTTCTGCTCTGCTCTGCGCCACGTTAGCACTCACGTTTGGGGCTCCTTTAGATTACACTGCCGTTGACCACCCAAAGCTCTCAGGGTTTTTGTTTCTTCTAGAGGAGTTATTTCCTTAAGTCGAGCTTAATCTTTACTGTGTACACAGATTTGGCACATGCTGCCATGAAGAAAACCATTGGTCTCATCTTTCCTAAGAGATATTCCATCTCTGGAAACAGTTCATTTAGTCCTCTTTGCATCCTCCCTACTTGGATGTCTTACAAACTTGACTTTGGGATGTAAGCAGTTTTTTCCTATTTGTTGAAGTGTGGGTCGCACCCTAC